GGTGGGCGTTGGCACGTGGGTGCCAGCCGGGTGCACGGCTCTGGCCTTTGGGTAAGGCGGGCGCTGGGGGGGACGGCGGGGGCTGTGGCTGGGAAAAGAGGGGGCTACCACCCAGGTTTCTCTGGATCCCATCACCACCCTCCCTCCTGCTGCTGCCAGAGTGGCACAGGAGAAAGGGGCTCCCGGCAGGATGTGTGAGGTCCCGGGGCTAGGGGGGCCTGAGATGGAAAGAGGGGTGCAGGGGGGCGGGGAGCAGGTGCCTCAGCCTTTAGAATAGAGTGGGGGGGAGTGGATGGCTGGGTGATGGGGGACGAATTTTCTCCCTGGGGCCGCCCCTCCCTCCTTCCCTCCTCCCCTCCCTCCCTCCTCCCCGCCCTCCCCTCCCTCCTCCAGCTCATCCATCTCGAAAAGATTATATTTAAATATCTCTTTTGTGTGAGGCAGGAGCTGGGCTCGGCCCCTAAGAGGCGGTTTCCATGGCAACAACAATTGCCAGCTTCCGTGTGGTGAATCAGGGTTGCCTTGGCAACCCCATCCTCCTCGGCCCAAGGTGCTGGGAAGGGAGGGAGGGGGAGGGGGAGGGGGCGAGGAGGTGAGGGGCCAGCGGAGGCGGGGTGGGGAGGGGGCGGGGGGAGCTAGAGCAGCCCAGCACCCCCCTCCCTCCCTCCTCCCCACCCCCACTTCCGCTGGGCGCCCCACTCCAGAAGCTGGGCTCAAGCCGTGGCTCCGATGGTTTCCATCCCCCCCACTCCTACCTGCCACCGACAGGGGGTGGGGACCCAGGGGCACTGGGTGGGGGAAGGGATGGGTGGGTGGCTGGGTGGGGGGGGCTTTGGGGAGGGTCGGGGTCCCCCCTGAGGGCTGGCCAGCCAGGAAACCTGGTCTCTCTGGTTCCGAGTTCAAGGGGAGGCAACTCAGACATGCTGGCAGAGGGAGGGGAGGTGAAGGGGGGAGGGTCTGGAGAGAAAAGGGACCCTGGGTTGGGGGCGCCCGGAGGCTCAGGAAGAGGAGGGGCGCAGGGGAAGAGGGGAGCCTGGGCCTCCGAGAGAGGGGTGTGGATCAAAGTGGAGGGGTGGGAGGAGGGGGGGGCTCTGGATGAAGAGGGAGAGGACTCGCTGTGGGAGTGGGTGGAAAGTTCCAGACTTCGGCCTAGTGTGCCTCCCCTGGCCCCTCACCCCGACCTCCGTGTCTGAGCTGATGGGGAGGGGAGGCAAGGAGGCTCTTGATGGGAAATGCTTGTTGGGTGCCTTCTCTGAGCGGGAGGGGAAGTTCCTTTGGGAGCCCCAGGACAAGTGGATTCGGCACCTGTCTCCCCATGCGCTGATCCGGGAGGACTAGAACTCGGGTCCCCGGCACCTCTTTTATAGGCCGTTTTCTTCTGGCCTAGTCAGTTCCATTTCCTCTCCTTCCTCCACATGCCCTGCCCCAGTTTGGGAGGGTGTGGGACAAACCAAGACCCACCTATGGCCAACCTTGTGGCAGGGGCCACAGGACTGTTGGGGAGGGAGAGTTCTCTGCCCTGAAGGTTTTTGAGCTGGGTTTTGAAGGATGAATAGGAGTTCACTGGAGGCTCTAAACTAGAAGCAAGCACATCCCTCACATCTGTCCTCTTGGTCTCCACCTTGGCTCAGCCCCAGGGGGCCGCCCAGGTTAGAGGTGTGGGGTAAGCTCCATCATGGCCTGTGTGTGGGGTGAAGGGCAGAGCCATATGCCCAGAGAGGGGCAGCTGCGGGCGCTGTCTTGAGTGCCAGATCAAACCGTCCAGGGAACCCTGTTTGTCTGAGCCAATACCATTTGGAACTTAGTCATTTTTTTCAAAGGGATCATTGTTGGGTTTTGAGGGCTAGCTAGGAGTTTCTCCTGCAGGTGGGAACTAAGTATCCTTTTGCTTGTGCTGGTGTTTCTGAGACCGGAGAGGGGGCGCAGTGGAGGTGCTTTGCAGAGCTCAGGCAGAGCCCCCCAGGCCCCTTCCCGGCCGCCCGTCCTGAGCTCGCCCTCCCTCTCCCTCCACAGATGGCGCGGCCAATCCAGGTGAAGCCTGCGGACAGCGAGAGCAGAGGAGGTAGTTGCCATCTCTCCGTGGCCTCCAGGCCCGGGTGGGGCGGGGGGCTGCTGGGAAATGGGGGAGGGGTCACGTGGCCACCTCTCCTCCCCCTCAGAGGAATGGTGGCCAGGCCTGTGGGTGGCAAAGACGCCCCGCTTCTTTTTGGAGGTGCAAAGATAGGGTTCCCGCCCTGAGGTGGTCTCCTCTGGGGGTGCATGTGTGCATGTGTGTGTGCATGTGTGTGCATGCGTGTGCACGTGCATGTATGCGTATGTGTGCATGCGTGTGCATATGCGTGTGTGCATGTGTGCATGCGTGTGCATGTGCATGTATGCGTGTGTGTGTGCGCGTGTGTGCAGACCCTGAGCTACGACGGGTGTTTTTCCCCCCTGCGTGCTCTGCACACGAGCACCTGTGCGCTCGCAGCTGTGTGTGCCCTGCCCCGCACGTGGGTGCGGGTGTTCACGCACGTGTGTGTGTGTGCGCGTGCGCGTGCTTGGCTTGGCTGTCGGAGGCTGGACGTGGGGGCGATGTGCAAGCTGGGGAGGGGGCTGGGGGGCGCTGGATGACGTATCGGGGTGCGTGTCTGTGCTCTCCTGCCTTGATTTGCTTTTAGAAGGGATAGAGCAGCCCGGGACAGGGTGTGAAGGGAAGGTGGTGTGGGACACGGCCGTTAGGACCCCGGTGTATGTGTAGGAGCCCGGTGGTAAAGCCCATCTTTTTTGGGGGGGGGGTTGGGAGCGAGTTTCTCTCTCTGGCTGCTTACTGTGCGACCCGGAGCAGAGGGAGGTGTGTGTCCCGCTTCCGCCCCCTCTCTCTGGTCCTCGGTCGGCCTCCGATGGTCGCTCCCGGCCCCGGGGCTCCGCTTTTCCCCCCACCCGCCCCTCCCCGCGCTGGCGCGGCCTCTGCTCCCGCCCCCTCCCGCCTCCGTGAGTGACAGCTGCCGAGGCCGGTTTCCACGGCAACGCGGCCCGCGGGTCCGGGGATGGCG